TGGAGATCACCGCATTTTGCATACATCATGATAAGGGAGTTACGCACATAATCATTTGATTCAAATCCTGTAGAAACTATACGTGCATGGATAGGCATCCCATGTGTTAGTAAATTATCAGGGGTTGAGCAAGCACCAAGAAAGTTTGCAAGGGTGATGTAGTTTGCAGGTATACCTTCTGCTCTCATCAATTGGAAAGCTTTTACCACATCATTCAGTTCTTCACTTTCTGCATGACCACCAATGAGAGCATTCCAGGTCACTTCATCTCGCCTGGGCAATATTTTGAATACTCGTTTTGCTTCAACCATCATACCAGACTTCGCATACATGGAAACTAATGCATTTCCAACAATCAAATTCTCATGAAGGCCCATAAGAATTACAAGGGCATGAATAATTTTCCCTTCTCTAAGAAATTCAGGATTTGAACAGGCAGCCAATGCACTGGTAAAAGTCACATAATTTATCATCTTTCCCATTTTAAGCATTTCAGTAAATATTTCCAAGGCAGCAAGGCTTCTTCCGTGTTGAATATATCTGGCTATCATGGAATTCCATGAGATTGAATCCCTCTCTGGCATTTCTTGGAAAACAAACTCTGCATCTTCAACACTGCCTGCCTCAAAATACATACCTAGAAGGCTGTTGTTTACACAAACATTTGAATCCAGTCCTAGCCTAAATGTTATACCATGAATTCCTCTTCCCCATTTCAAGTTATCCACTGAACTGCAGGCTGTTAATAAACTTGAAAGCGTAGTAGCATTTAATTGGTTATGACTCCAACGCATTCTGTCAAAATGTTGCAGTGACTCTCTACAAAAAGCATTATGCACATTTCCAGAAATTATTGAGTTCCATGAGATTGTATCACGCTCATCCATGTGATCAAAGATATAGCAAGCATCTTCAAGATTCCCTAAACTACCAAACATTGATATAAGAGAGTTAGCCACTGAAACATCATTCTCAAGACCAGACTTCACAACGTGCCCAAGAACCTGATGACCCAACAATTCATCCTCAAGAGACCCACAAGCAGCAATCACGCTAGCAAATGTATTCTGGTTGCAGCTAAACTTGTCATTTCTCATATGCTGATATAAGTCTATAACTGCTTTAGGATCTCCATTATCTGAATAACTAACCATCAGTGAAGTCCAGGAAACTACATTCTTCTCAGGCATCTCTTCAAATAGCTTTTGGGCATCTAAAATAGCACCATATGCTCCGTAAAAATGCAGGAGAGAAGTACCCACAAACACATCACTTAAATGACCAACTTTAAAAACAAAACCATGCACTTGAATCCCTTCTTTAACCATACACGCTGACCTATCACATGCAGTTATCAAGCTAGCAATCAGAAACCCAGTTGGCCTAACACTAGAATCCAGCATTTCACAAAAGAACACCATGGCTTGTCGATAAAAACCAACCCGCACAAATCCTGACATCAAAGTGTTCCAGGAAACTTCATTTCTCTCAAACATATTATCAAACAAGTAATGCGCACGACCCAAGTCCCCAAACTTGGAGTACATGTTAATCAACGTATTCGTGAAAAACACACTCAAATGAATTAAACCCTTGATACAAAGTGCATGTAAGGCTTTGCCAGTGGTTTCTGTGCTTATTTGAGAAAAACCCTTTTCATAAAAGCAGGAGATTTCAGGGTTCGGGTGGTTGGTGAAGCAAGTAGTACCATAGTCTCTGGCTCGAAGTGACCACCGGATTGATGACATATCCCGTTTCTTGAAGTGGGTTTGGCGGCAAAGAACTTGTAAAGCATTGGTACATGATGGGGGTTTGGATTTGAGAATGTTTCTGCAGCAACCAGCCAGCTCTTTTGATGATTTTGGTTCTCACTCCAATGTCTAAACAGTTTGCCGTTGGTTTCTCTATAGCGGCTGGTGATGGGATGGCTGTTCTTGAATAACCTCAGTAGGGTTTCGTTGGCTGGCTGGCGGGCGGCCGGGAGTGAGCTGCCGGAAGTCGCTCTTGAATATCAGGATTCAGGGGGTTGAACGAAGGCTAACAAACTAGAGAAACGGAAAACCCCACGATTGAGGCCTTGAACTTTCAACTTGTTTCTCAATCAAGCCCTCATGCCAATTGTTTGGGTAATTAAAGCCCTAATCATTACATTAAAACCCGGTCCCTTAAAGGGATCTCTCGTTGGGAGCTTGAACCCCCATTTTGGAGGCCTTAAGATTGGATCATCATGGTGCTTTTGAGATTGCCCTGAAGTTTTAGGGATTGTAGCTTTGCTGAATTATAACTGTTGTCATAACCCAATTTTAATTGGGGCTAAGCGATAAAAGTAAAAGCTCACGAACCATTTTTTGCAATAGTGTGAAGCTTGAAGGGTTGAGAGGAGAAACTAGCAAAACGACGTCATTTTGCTTGTAAGCTGAAATAAAGGTTGAAACCCTAGCCACCCAAACCCGTTTCTTTCTTTGCTCTGTCGCCGGCCCCTCTCAAAACAGAAAAATCACAAAAATTTTCTTGATTTATCCCTAAATCTACTCAAGTTTTGAAGAAATTTACGGAGATTGAAAGTCATCAACAAGAGGCGCAGAAGAAGAGTTCGAAATTGTTTCAAAGAAGGGAGTTCTAAGCATAGAAGGTATGAATCTAGACTAGAAAAGGGGTAGATGTGGGAAAAACTAAGAAATCCCATTCCAAATAGGATTGAGTTGTTATCTTAGAGATTGGGATTTGAGTATTAGAAGCACATTAGAATTGGTTTTCCTTTTGTTTATAAAAAGGGGGGGCCTTTGATATGTAGAAAAACTTAGAAGTCACGTGCAGGTGGCATACGCAGGTGGCATATCAGTTACTGTTGGTTTGTGTCAGTTAATATGCTAGTATAAACGTGTTTTGTAACTCTTTGTTGGGTGTTCAGTTATTTTTGGCGTTCTTCAATCTTCTTAAACTCCTCTGTAATTCTGTTGTATTTCAGACTCTATTGCAAAGGATATATATCGAAGATCCTTTCTCTTTTTGTGGATTTTCCTTGTATTCCTTTAAATTTTGTTTACTGGTATCATTTGGTATCAGAGCAAGTTCCTGGCATCATGGAAACTCGCTTACAAGAACAGAAGAAACTGATTGATGACGTTGTTAAAACAGTTATGGCTAAGATGGGCGGACATTAAGAACAACTACTTAAGGCCATGGAGGAAAAGTATGAAAACCAAGTGTCAGATTTGAGAACTCGAATGTCAGGTCTGAATGTGCAACAAAATTAGATCATGGCACAACTTGATACCTCTTCAACTTCTCGAGGATCTCAAATTTATGGAAATTCATCTTCAAATACAGGTATGGGGCCACTTACTTCCAAAACTGCCAAGATAGAATTTCCCAAATTCAATGGTGAAGAATTGAAAGATTGGTTGTATAAATGCAATCAATATTTTAAAATTGATGGTACTCCTGATGAACATAAAGCTCATTTGGCTTCAATAAATCTTGAGGGAAAGGCTATGAAGTGGCATCAATCTTTTTTAGAGATTAAGGGAGAGCAAGTGCTTTCAAATTGGGAGGAATATGTTGAGGGCCTTAAGGCTAGATTTGGTGAGAAGGCTTATGAGGATCCCATGTCTGATTTGATTTCACTTAAGCAAACTGGGACAGTGGAAGAATTCCAGGAGCAATTTGATACTCTTTTCCCTCAAATTGGAATAAATGAAAAACAAGCAGTGAGTTTTTTCCTCAGTGGATTGAGAAGAGAGATAGAAATTTCAGTGAGGATGTTTAAGCCACAGACTCTTTATGATGCTTATGCTTTAGCCCGGCTACAAGAGTCTTCTATTCAAGAGGCACAAAAGTTAGCTTTAACATGTAAACTTCAACCCATACGAACTTCACCCTTATTACCTACACCAAACACTCCTCCTCGGACACCTAATGCTACTACAAAAGCATTCACTTCTACCAACTCTACCAAATGACCTCACCCAAACACTAGACCATCAAACACCTTTCCCAAACATATTAAGCCCCTTACCAGACAAGAGATGGAGGAGCGAAGGCGAAAAGGATTATGCTATTGGTGTGATGAAAAATTCACCAATGGTCACAAATGCAAAAATATGCAATTGTTTTCCATTGAAGTTGTTGAGGGGTGATGACGGAGAAGAAGGGGAAGTCTTTGAGGAAGCCATAGAAGAACTTCTAGATGACTCCAATCCACACGTCTGTTCATGCATTATCTAGAGGTAGCAGTGGAGCTTACCATACAATGAGGGTAACTGGATATGTGAATAAGAAACCTATTCACATACTCATTGATTCTGGGAGCACTCATAATTTTTTAGATGTTAATGTGGCAAAAAGGGTTGGCTGTAAGTTACAAGCTGTTGAGGCTTTGAAAGTTGATGTAGCTGATGGAAGTTCATTGGAATGTGTCCATATGTGCCAAGATTTTACTTGGTGGTTACAAGGTAAACCATTTCATATAGATACATTAATTTTACCTCTTGGTAGTTGTGATATGGTGTTGGGAATTCAATGGCTAGAGACCTTGGGTGACATTTTGTGGAATTTTAAGACTTTACGCATGGAGTTTGTTGTCAATGGACAAAAGTATGTACTCAGGGGATCTTCTCAGGTGTCTTTAAAGATGGTTGGCAGTAAAGGAATGGTGAGATTGCTTAAAAAAGAAGGACAGGCCAGCTCAATTCATTTATGTAGTCTGATTGTTGATGCTGTCGAAGGACGTGGCACTTGGCAAATTGAAGAAAATAAAGTTGAAAACGCTTCCAAGAAGGTTTCAACTTGTTCTGAATTGGAGAAATTATTATTAGAGTATGCTGATCTCTTTGCAGAACCTAAAGGCCTTCCTCCCCACAGAGCTCATGATCATAAAATTTGTTTAAAGGCAGGAACTACTCCTATTAATCAAAGGCCATACAGATATGCATGAGAATAGAAGGATGTCATTGAAAAGATGACTCAAGAATTGTTATAAACGGGTATCATCCAGCATAGTGTAAGTTCTTTTGCTTCACCTGTAGTTCTAGTTAAGAAGAAAGATGGGTCTTGGCGCATGTGTATAGATTACAGAACTCTAAATAAGCAGACTGTGAAGGATAAATATCCCATACCCCTCATTGAAGAGTTGTTAGATGAGTTGCAAGGATCAAAATTTTTTTCTAAGATTGAGCTTAGATTGGGATACCATCAAATTAGAATGTATCCACCAGATGTTCCAAAAATAGCTTTTAAAACTCATGAAGGGCATTATGAATATTTAGTCATGCCATTTGGTCTCACCAATGCACCTTCTACTTTTCAATCTCTTATGAATGATATTTTCAGAGTTTACCTTCAAAAATTTGTCTTGGTATTCTTTGATGATATCCTTGTTTATAGTAAGAGCTTAGAAGAGCATATTTGCCATTTGAGACAGGTATTTAAGCTGTTGAGAGATAATGAGCTATTTGCGAAGCAAAGCAAATGTTTCTTTGGTTGTGACAGGATAGAATATCTTGGGCACTATATCTTTGAAGGAGTTTCTATTGATCCTAAGAAGATTTTAGTTGTTCAGCAATGGCCTCAACCAAAGACTGTTAAGGAATTAAGGGGATTTCTCGGTTTGACAGGATATTATAGAAGGTTTATTCAGAATTATGGGAGTTTGAGTAAACCTTTGATATAATTGCTAAAAAAAGAGGGGTTTCATTGGTCAAGGGAGGCTAGTGAAGCTTTTGAATCCCTTAAGCATGCTGTGACAACAACTCCAGTGTTAGTTTTGCCAGATTTTTCCAATGAGTTTGTAGTGGAGACCGATGCTTCTAATGCTGGAATTGGCGTTGTTCTTTTACAACAAGGGCATCCAATAGCCTTTATCAGCAAGGCTTTGTCCTTAAGACATCAAAGTTTATTAGTTTATGAAAAGGAGTTGTTAGCTCTAATTTATGTAGTGCGTAAGTGGTCACATTATTTGACTAGAAGGCATTTTATCGTCAAAACAGGTCACCAGAGTTTGAAGTATCTTTTAGAGCAGAGGATTAGCACTCCTTTACAGCAAGCTTGGTTGGCTAAATTAATGGGCTATGATTTTTCAATTAGTTATAAAAAGGGAAAAGAAAATGTGGTAGTAGATGCCCTTTCTCGAGTGTCCAGTAACCAGCTCATGCAAATGGCAGTCTTTAGGATTCTTCCTGGTATTTATGAAGAGGTGAGACTTAGTTGGGAAGTTGATCCAGTGCGTCGGGAAATCTGTAATAAATTACAGCAAGGTTCTTTAAAGGATTCTGCTTACACTTGGTCTGAAGGACAACTAAGACGAAAAGGCAGATTAGTTGTGGGAAATAATGCTGCTCTTAGGAGGAAGTTGATTCATTTGGTGCATGATAGTGCAATGGGAGGTCACTCTGGAATTCAAGCTTCCATAAAAAGGCTTGTGCTTTTGTTTTATTCGAAAGGCTTAGAGAAAGATGTGAGGCAGTACATAAGGCAATGTGATGTATGTCAGCGTTACAAACCAAAAAATACTCCAACTCCAGGGCTATTGCAACCTCTGCCAATTCCTGAAGCAATTTGGACTCAAGTTAGTATGGATTTCATTACAGGCCTTCCAAACTCTTATGGCAAAGATGTTATCTTTGTTGTTGTTGATAGACTTACAAAATATGCACATTTCATTGCCTTACAACATCCTTACTCAGCTCTTACTATTGCACAAGCTTACATGGACAATGTCTTTAAGTTGCATGGATTGCCTCAAGAAATTGTATCTGACAGGGATCCCATTTTTCTTAGTAATTTTTGGCAGGAGTTGTTCAAACTCCAGGGGGTTGAACTGCAATGTTCTTCT